TGCTGCTCACAGCGAAACCTAATCTTATGGTTTATAGTTTTATTGAGATATAATTCACATACCGTGCAATTTACCCATTTGAAACGTATCATCTTTAGTAAGATTACAGGGTGCATAACCATCATCACCTTCTAATTTTGAACATTTTCGTACCTCCAGCCAGAAAAACCACTTTACACCTGTTATCAGTCATTTTCTGTCCCCTCCACTAATATTCTCCTTGGCAACCACCGATCTGCTTTCTGTCTCTGTGGATCTGCTCTCCTGGACATTTCGTATCAGCAGATCACACCACCCGCAGCCTTTGCGCCTGGCCTCTGCACTGTGGAGTGTTTCAAGGGTCACCCACGCTGGAGTCTGTATCAGCACTCTGTTTCTCTTTGTGGCTGAATAATATTCCCTTGCATGGATAGCACGTTTTGTTTATCCATGAATCCACTGATGGATATCTGGGTTGTTTCCATGTTTTTATTGATATATATTGGTACATACTTAAGGGGTATGTGTGATACTTTGTTGCATGCACAGAATGTGTTATGATTAAGTCAGAGTATTTAGGGTATGCATCACCTGCAGTATTTATTATTTCTATATGTTGGAAATGTCTCAAGTCTTCTAGCTATTTTGAAACATATAATACACTGTTGTTAACTATACTCACTGTATTCTGCGATTGCACATTAGAACTTATTCCTTCTACCTGATTGCATGTTTGTGTCTATTAACCAATCTTTCTTCACCCTGAAACTTAATCTTAAAGTTTGTAATAACTTAAAGTTTGTAATTTGTAATACATTTCTTCTGTAATTAATATAGACATCGATACCAGTAAGCAACACATCTTCAGGGAAACATGGGGAATTGAGGACATATTACTGGGTGGAGTTGGACTGAAAAACAGTGACATGCCCATTGATATGATGGGAAGGGAGCTGGCAGGCCACGGGGCACCCCAGCAAATGGGTCAGACAGTGGCCCTTGTTCCCTGGAGGCATCTAGCACCAAGGGCAGAGCTCTGGGCAACCGGGAGCTGCCTCAGCAGAGCAGGTCAAGGCAGATGAGGGACATGGGCCCTGTTGGAATGAGTGGTTGTTCTGAAGGCATTAAGTAACGAAAAGTCAGAAAACAGTAAGTTCGAATACAGCAATTCTCACCTCAAAGTGTGGTCTGAACCAGCCTTGGTGTGACTGCAGAAAGCCCGTTTCTGCAGGTGATGCATACCCTAAATACTCTGACTTAATCATAACACATTCTGTTATTATGTTTGTAATAACAGGGTTGTGGTCACCTGAAATCTAACCTGGAGACTGATTTTGTGGATCTTTGAATGGTAATGTCCGTGGCACTTGCAGCGTGGCCAAATCTGCTCTGTGAAAGGTGGGGCGCTGGCCTGTGGATACTTGGATCGCAACGACGGAGCACTGGTATTGACCTGGCAGCTTGCTGGCTCCTGAACCCCAAAGCCCTTGGAAGTCCCCCATGGCACACAGGGCTCTGCCCTGCCCCCACTCGGAATGGCTCTAGGACATGGGCCTGATTTCAGCACAGCCTGGGGTACAAAGTACAGAATCAGAGAATCAAAGAGAAGCGTTATGGTTCAGGACAATTGCAGGCTTGTTAATAGGATTTGGTTTTAAGGGGGCTCAAGTAAGATCAGACCTAACAGTGAATCAGCCTGAGTTAATTGATGCAGGCCCACGTCCCAGAAGTTCCATCCCCAAGTGGCTGGGAACTCGGGGTTCTCTAGTGGCATCTGTGTTGTCTGACAGGAATCTGCACAGGACCCTGTTTCTCTGGGTCTTCATTTCTGGTGCTGAAGGTCCAGAAGTCCTAGGGTCTGATGTGGAGGAAGGAGGTGGGGTGCGGTGAATGAACCTCATACACATCTTGCTCTCACCCTGTACCTACAGCCCCTGATTGGACCTGGAAGTGTGCATGTGTCTGTATGGTGTTTCATGTGTGTGTGTACATGTCTGTATGGTGTTTCGTGTGTGTGTGCATGTGTCTGTATGGTGTTTCGCGTGTACGTGTGCATGCGTCTCTATGGTGTTTCACGTGTGCCTGTGTCTGTATGGTGTTTGATGTGTGCGTGTGCATGTCTGTATGGTTTTTTGTGTGTGTGCATGTGTCTGTATGGTGTTTTGCATGTGTGTGCATGTGTCTGGTGTTTCGCATGTGCATGTGCATGTGTCTGTATGGTGTTTCGTGTGTGTGTGCATGCATCTGGTGTTTCAAGTGTGTGTGCATATGTGTATGGTGTTTCATGTATGTATGTATATGTGCATGTGTCTGATGTGTGTGTGTGTGATTTATCTGTATGGTGTTTCATGTGTGTTGTGTGTACATGTGCTTGTGTCCATGGTGTTTTGTGTGTGTGTGCATATATATCTGGTGTTTCACGTGTGTGTGTGTATGTGTCTCTATGGTGTTTTGCATGTGTGTGCATCTGTCTGTATGGTGTTTTGTGTGTGTGTGTGTGCATGTGTCTCTATGGTGTTTTGTGTGGGGGTGGGGGTGTGTGCTCCTTGCGGACACATGCTGGTTAGGAATTTACCAAATGGGAAGAAGAAACTAGCTTGGAGAGCCAAGGGCCCACAGTGCAGACTGGCTTTACTTCTGGGTTAAGAGGGGATGGGCATGCCGGGTCCAGGAGACACGGGAGGGTTGTCCCGGGGGCTGTGTGCTGGGCACCTGCTTTGCTGCACAACATGACTGTCCATTGTCTCCTGCCAGCCCCAGATCCATTGCACAGCAGGACTCCCCTCAAGAGTGCATGCACACATGCACACACACACAGGTTCTAACGCACACACACATCCATATGTTCAAATGTGCATACATATGTGCACTCATACACACATTTATGCATGTACACACATGCACATACTTCCACATATACATACATAAGCACACACGTAAATACATGCAATGCATGAAGCCACCCAAACACGCACATGTGCACACATGTATGAGCACACACGTACACACACGTGAACTTACCTATACCCATGTGCACATACACACGTGTACACACATATGCACATGCTCACCCACCTACACACACCCACGCACAGGGCTCTGAGTTGGAGTGGTCATGATGCTGCTTCACCACCCCATGAGGGGTCACATGGCAGCAGCAGAGGTGGTCACGGCCTGAAACCAGCGGAAGGGGCCAGAGGAGTGCAGGGCTATCCAGACTGTTATTGGTAACTACACAGAAAGTCCAAAGGTTACTGTTAGGCTAAAAAAGATTACACTTCATAAAACCATGTTTATTCAAAAAAATCTATTCAGAAAGTCTGGAAAGCGTAATAAATATCTGTACAGCGGACACCCATCTCAAACAGGAATTACAAAGCGGAAACATAGAACTGATCTGTAAACATAGCTGCTGAGCCTGTGAACAGCGCTGAGTCAGGAGCGAGGCAGAGAAGCGTGCTCAGTAGAACGACATGGACGTGGCAGCCTCCGTCCTGAGCCCCTGAAGCCGCGCTGGAGTCCACCTTCTGCCCCCTCTGCAGCGCTCACGGACCGGCAGCATCCTTCTCGAATCTGCGCGGCACTTAGAAAGGAGGCGGCAGCAAAACCATGTCAGAAAGGAACGGAGTGCAAATCAGACTTTGCCATGTGCTTGAGAGAATCAGTAAAGCGTTAGGGAAAAATCCCAAGTGCAGCTTTAGGATAACACCACTTAATGAACAATACTGGCTAACATTAAGTACTATTATAACTTTAAAATTCAAACAATCTTCCAGACATCAATACATACACAGTTAGTTTAAAATCACAGACAAATCGGACTTGAGGGTAAAAGTGAGATCCTCACCTCTTGCCCATGTTTGACTTTGGGGTGGAATTCAGCAAAGCTCTCCCACTGCTGACTGGGAGCATCAGGTATTTCTCCCGCATAGGGGGCTGCCAGGGAAGGAGGACCCTATAGGGTGGCCAGGAAGGGCCACCCGCGGTGGGTTAGGAAGCCTGAGATCTAGGGTTCCATGTGTTTATAAGTTCTGTGATTTTCATGATCCAGAGGGGTTATGAGCATCTGTGTGAGTGAGGAGAGCCAATTAACTTTTGGGGAGGTCTGTGTCATTTGTGCAAATCATATGAAGCATTTCATTAGGTGTGGAGGTGCGCTGAGCTGGCAAAATGTGAATTCTAAGAACACCTTCATTTACAAGTTGACCACTGTTGAAAGCAGTCATGTACTATTTCACTAAATTTTTTGAAAGCTTAACTTAACATATGATACCATAACTTCGAGGCTGACTTTCTGTGGAAGGATTTCAAGTATCATTTTGTTCCAGATACGGGAGGGAAAGTAGAGGTATTTCACACTCAGTGGAGCAGGGCCAAGCCAGTGTTCTCCGCTGACGCACAGCAAATATTCGGAAGGACAGAGCTCGCAGGGATGGGGAGTCTCACCAGTCCCTTTGGCATTCTTAGAGTTCGGAAGCTAAGGCTGTACAAACTGGATTACTGAAAAAGACCACAAGCTGGTGGCCATGGGCACACAGGAGGAAGCGTGGCCGCTTGCTCGCAGATGCTTTCCCGTTTGCCTCTCCCACGTCCCCCTCCCTGCACCAGAATCCACTGACTTCAAGAAGACAGACCCAGGGTCTGAGCAGCCAGCAGAAGAGGTGATGACTTTCATTCATTTCTGGGAGGACAAACTCTGTGACCGAAGGATGATCCACATTTTCCTAAGTTTCTAATAAGAAATGAAATAATGAAGAACTGAAAAGCAAATTCATCATGGTGGAAATCACTCTAGCCCTGGGAAAAAGCATCTTCTATGGAGAAAATGTGAGCAAGGCCCAGTGGGCACTATGGGAAACAGGTATTCAGTCTGACCTCTCTTTTCATGTTTTTTTGTTCTCTAAGAAAAAAAAAAATCCTCATGGATTAAAGCTTCTGAAACAAGTTTATATTTTAAGGTCTGAAAACAATCAGACCAAACTAAGGGGTTATTTTTCAGAACACAGCCCAATTTGTTTTTAAGTTGGGTGCTTGAATCGAGATGGAGGGGGAACAAAGCCCAACAAAACAACATCTTCTTAGGGAAAACCTGGCTGCAGCCAGCGGGCGCCTCCTGAAGCCCCAGTTCCTGCAGAGGGGCTGCTCTTCCGTGATGCAGGTGAAGGGGGAGCGGCTGCCTCCCCTCCAGTCCGCTTGCTGGGTCCCTTGGTGCGGGGGCCGCCAGGGAGCATCTTCAACACCCTCACAGGAGATTGAAGGACCCATGCGTTCCCTCTGCTGGCGGGACTGGGTGCTAGGCCTGCTGCCCGGAAACTTCTCACTCCATTTTACACAATGAAGGAGAGCACGGCATGCCCTCAGTGCCCTGCACCCACCGTGTGTGCACACTCAGGGGAACACGGATCCGTGTGAAAACAGATCTGTGCAACAGAGACACACAACACAACACAAAGCAGCATCTACAAAGTGCATCGCTCCTGCCCACCTCATCTCTGCCGCCCTCCCACCTGCGCCGCTGCCCCTCAGTCTCCCTCCAGCCTCCAGCTGAACTGAGGATTGGTGAGAAGCCACAGAGCTCCATTCCTCCCATTCATAGCTTTTCCATAGGCCAGAAAAATCAAAGTGAACACGGCAAAACCACAGCTTTGGGTGAGCACACAGGAAGCTCACCAGGGCTGAGCAGGTGTGAGAACCCGCAGCTCCCTGCAAAGCCTCCAGGTAGCCGTGTGACAGTGGAGCTGTGGACAGAGGGCAGCCCAGTGAGCTCGGCCCCCCACCTGGGAAAGGCTGGGACTCGAGGTGGACACAGGCTCCTCTGGGAGGCACCACCTTCCATCCTGGCGACACAGAGCTCTCAAGGCAAAGATCCAGCCTGCCTGTCTCCCGCCTGGGCTCTTTCTCATTTGAATTTGGGACAGAGGAAAGGACGGGCTACCCAGCACCTCAGGCAAAGACTGAAGGGCGAGGAGGAAACAGCTCTTTGGATTATTTTGGGCAGAACCAGGCGTCCCTCCTGGATGCCACAGTGCCAACCCCATCATCCAGCATGTGGGGAGCCCCGGGATGCCAGGTCACCCCTATCCTCTGGGGCCTGCAAGCACCCACAGTGTGCCCTTGCACTGCCACCTTCCCACCGGGTACCCAGGACGCCGGCGTCAGGGGTCTGACCGTGTGACCGGCTTCATAATTGCAAAACAGATCTCTTGGCAGAAACAGAAGCCGTGAAATGAGAAGGCCTGCGGGCTCTGAAAGGAGCCCCTGGCATCGCCCAGCTGTACGACGTGAAGGGGCGCATTTGGTTTTGATTGGGAGAAAGGAGAGCGGGCGGTGAGGCTGGTGAGCGAGGCTTGGAGAAGCCCCCAGGTCAGGGCCCTCTCCAGGGCTGAAAAAGAAAACATGGACACGGCGAGGACGGGCGCCGCCTCCCTGCTGGACTTGTGGTCACTCTGGGTGCCAGATGGGCTCCGAGGCCAGGGTCTGCGAGCCCATGAGGACACTGGCGGGGGACGCTGGGGCCAGGGTCCCACCCGCTACAACCGTGTGGATGTGAGTCTCTTCATGCCTCTGCGCTGAGCCAGGTTGGACGACAGCACGGGCTCCAGCCGCGGGGCCTGAGGTGTTCTGTTTAGAGCAAAGTAGGTGGCGGCCATCGCTCCCTGCAAAACAGATGGCAAGGGTGAGACCGCCTCACTCCAGGGCTGGAGCCGGAGCCCAGGGCCTCGATGGGCCTCAGCTGCCCCCAGGCAACGAGGGGGAAACCAGAGCTCCCTCAGGGTCCCTGGAGCATGGGGTGCTGTGAGCCTGCTGCGGGGGCCAGCACACATGAGACCCGGGACAGAGGGCATTTGATCCTCATTCCTGCACCTGCTACCACCCCACACCACCCTCTCACTGTGTTTGTGCCTTGGGGAAAATATTTTAGATTCTTGTGGAGCCCCCAAGACGAGGCTACATGATCCCAACACCCTAATAGTGAGGCCAGGTGTGTTTTGGGGCTTGCTGGGTCCTAGGATACACGCACAGCAAATGCCAGGGCCTGTCTGTCTGAACTGTGGTCACTGCTGAGGAGTCTGGACTCATTTGGAGGAACAGGCACGTCCTGGAGTGACTCTAAATCCTCAGGATGGATCTGGAAGGACCGCTCCTCACTGAATCCTGCCTCATCCTGCTGGGGGAGGGGGGTGGTCTATGCTTCTCAGAGGAGGAGTCCCACCCAGAGGACGGGGTACATATATATATATATTGTATGTGTGTGTGTGTGTGTGTGTGTGTTTTGAGATGGAGTCTCGCTCTGTTGCCCAGGCTGGAGTGCAGTGGCGCTATCTCGGCTCACTGTAACCTCCGCCTCCCGGGTTCTTGCAATTCTCCTGCCTCAGCCTCCTGAGTAGCTGGGACTACAGGTGGCCGCTGCCATGCCTGGCTAATTTTCTGTATTTTAGTAGAGATGGGGTTTCACCATGTTGTCCAGGCTGGTCTCGAACTCCCGTGCTCAGGCAATCCACCCACCTCGGCCTCCCAAAGTGCTGGGATTACAGGCGTGAGCCACCATGCCCGGCTGTAAGTCACTTATAAAGTAGGGACTTTTTTGCACGTGTGGCCTAGAATGGAGGCTTTGAACCTGAGTGTAATAAACATGCCAGCTGCCACCACGTCCGCAGAGGCTGCACCTACTCAGATGTGCTACCGCTCTGTGTGCTACCGTGCGCTACTGTGCGTGTCTGGTGAAGTGCGAGGAGGTAAGTGGGTGGGCGTGCAGTTTGGGGCTACTACGGGCTCCTTCTGTGCACTCTGGGATTTCTTCAGTGATTGCAAGCTATCAGGCTCTTTTCTGCATTTCCCACCACTGTGTCCTCACTGTCACCGGCTGGTACCTTCACCAGGTGCACGTCCTGTCGGCTGAGCTGGTTTTGGGACAGGTACTCTCTGTTGACGACCCATGGGTGTTTGAGCACTTGCATGGCCGTCAGGCGCTGATGAGGGTCCACGTGGAGCATCTTGGACACGACGTCCTGCCAAGGAAGGTCATGAGAGTGGGGTGGATGGCGGGATCACTTGTGCTGGGCCAGAGAGCTCCCCAGCAGAACACCTTCTCTCTCTATGCAACACCCAACCACTATGCTGAGTGTGGGTCTGCGTCTTGGGGTCAAGTGTTCACTTTCAGGATTAGAAGCATGTTAATGGATTTTAGCTTTATCGCCAAACTTAGAAGTTCACTGAAGGTTTATCTTTTTGTTGAGATGGAGTCTTGCTCTGTTACCTAGGCAGGAGTGCAGTGGTGCAATGTTGGTTCATTGCAACCTCCACCTCGAGGGTTCAAAGCGATTCTCCTGCTTGAGCTTCCTGAGTAGCTGGGATTATAGGAGCGTGCCACTGTGCCCGGTTTTTATTTATTTATTTATTTATTTATTTATTGTATTTTTAATAGAGACCAACTTTCACCAAGTTGGTCAGGCTGGTCTCGAACTCCTGACCTTGTGATCTGCTGCCTCGGCCTCCCAAAGTGCTAGGATTACAGGCGTGAGCCACTGCACCCAGCCAGGCTTATCTTTTATTAATATTTTATGTCTAAAAAGAAGTTAAACGTGGAAATGTTAGATGATACCTGTAAACTTGTGAAACACTGTTTCTTATAAATATGGTATCTTTCCAAAGGGAGAAGCTGAAATAATAAATATTCCGCAGGTAGAAATCAATTTATAACAATGCACATGCTTATCAGAACTACCCACAAATATTTACTA